TGAGAATTTTAAATTCGGCCTCTGATTTAATTATTTTAATCTGCTTTTAAATTCTATTTTGTACACTGTTTTATTATGGCTGTTCACCAGTCCTTCGGGAGAAGGGCGGTATATAAATAAAATAAGATAAGATAAGATAAGATAAGATAAGATAAGATAAGATAAGATAAGATGATAAGATAAGATAAGATAAGATAAGATAAGATAAGATAGATAAATAAATAAATGAATTGAATGAATTCACTTAACAACTGCATGATTCACTTAACAACTGCATGATTCACTTAACACTGCATGAATTCACTTAACAACTGCACGATTCACTTAACTGCACAATTCACTTAACAACTGCATGATTCACTTAACTGCATGAATTCACTTAACAACTGCATGAATTCACTTAACAACTGCACAATTCACTTAACAACTGCATGAATTCACTTAACAACTGCATGTTTCACTTAACAACTGCATGAATTCACTTAACAACTGCAGGAATTCACTTATCAACTGTATTGATTCCCTTAGCAACTTGCAGGGATTTGTTTAACAAGGTGATCAAATCAGGCCTCATGACTCATGTAGCAACCACCTTGCTTAGCAACAACGGAAACTCTGTTCCCAATTGTGGTCGTACGTTGAGGACTACCTGTACACAGTTATACAAAGAATCCACTCATGAATCTTTTTTTGGGGGGGGGGAAATGAAAAATTATGCATCTCATTAAATTCCTCTGCCTAAGCCGGGGGTTGGACTAGAAGACCTCCAAGGTCCCTTCCAGCTTAGTTCTTCTATTTATTTATTTATTTATTTTATTTATTTATTAATTTTATTTCTATACCGCCCTTCTCCTGAAGGACTCAGGACGGTGTACAGCCTGATTAAAAGCACAAAGACAGACAAAATTTAAAAATAATTAAAATTATTAAATGATAGGCTCAATTATAAAAACCCCAAATTTAAAATCCCATATTTAAAAACCAATTAAAATCTTTACATTGATAGCCCGGCCTGGCGGAACAACAAGGTTTTGAGGGCACAGCGAAATACACGGAGGTCGGAGATCTTACGCATTTCCGGGGGCAGTTCATTCCACAGGGCTGGGGCTCCCACAGAGAAGGCCCTCCCCCTGGGTGTCGCCAGCCGACATAACTTGGCTGATGGCACCCTGAGGAGACCCTCTCTGTGGGAGCGGACTGGCCGCTGGGAGGCTACTGGTGGCAGAAGACGGTCTCGAAGGTACCCGGGTCCTATGCCATGGAGCGCTTTAAAGGTGGTAACCAACACCTTGAATCGCACCCAGAAGACCACTGGGAGCCAGTGCAGCTCGCGCAGGAGGGGTGTCACTTGGGCACAACGAGTTGCACCCATAACCACCTGCGCGGCCGCATTCTGGACCAGTTGGAGCCATATTCTATTCTAAATACTGTTTTTGTTTGTTTGTTTGTTTCAGGGAGATGTGGAAACCTGGCAAAAACTCCAGCCTTGTTTTTTTCCCCTTTTCCAAATAGACATAAGGGAAATTTCTCCACTCAGAATTCAGGCAAATGTTCATTTTGGGGAGGGGGGGAAGCATTTGCTTTTCAACATCTGGGTGGCCTTTGAACCGAGGCTGAGCTCCACGCAGAAGTTTAGCCAAATTTGTTTCTCAATATTATGTAATCAAGGGGAACTCTTTTTTTCTATATTCTTTCCGGGAAGGTTTTTGAGAACAGAACCTTCCTCCTTTTGGTATATATTGCAAGAGACTTCCTGCTGGACGCAGCGTTCCAGAGTCTGGCAGAGGGGAAAGAGAGTTGGAGAGAGTTCCAGGTAAGTCCTGGAAGTCACGGTACACTTCGGGATTTATTTTTTTTAAAAAAGAAAATTGCACAACCTGAGTGTGGGTGCCTTTGGAAAGAAAGGGAAAATGGCAAAGGGGAGGGTGGGAATCGTAGCCAGGGGGGCTGAATCTTGTCTCCCAAAGGCAGGTTTGATTCTGATTCTGCAAAATGTCTAATCCTTAAGATTCCCTAACGAAGAAACCTAGGGAGGGAGGGAGGGAGAGGGAGAGGGAGAGGGAGAGAGAGAGATCATGATTGTCCCAAAGGTGATTTTTTTCAGGAGGCAGTTGGACTTTCTTATATATATTTTTTTCTTTAAAACCTTTTCATTTCTTCTTCAAGAAGCTTCTCCGGTTCAGTTCTGAAGAAATTTCTTGGATGAGAAGTGAACTCTATGTGTTTACCTTTGGCTGTTCACCGCCCTGAGTCCTTCGGGAGAAGGGCGGTATATACATTTAAATAAATAAAATAAATAAATGTTTTCAAAAATAAAAACCAAGAAAGTCCAGTTGCCGTTTGGAAAAGGATCTTTGAGAGAGAGAGAGAGAGAAAGAGAAAGGGAGAGAGAAAGACACAGGAAAGAGAAAAGAAAGAAAGGGAAGGGAAGGGAGGAAAGGGAAGGAAAAAAGGAAAGGAAAGGAAAGGAAAGGTGGAAGGAAGGATAGAAGGAAGGAAGGAAGGGAAGGAAGGAAGGAAGGAAGGAAGGAAGGAAGGAAGGAAGGAAGGAAGGAAGGAAGGAAGGAAGGAAGAAGGAAGAAAAGAAATAAATTTGGGAATAAGGAAGGAAGGAAGGAAAAAGAAAGAGAGAGGAAGGAAGGAAAGAAGGAAGGAATGAAAGAAATAGAGAAAGAATAAATAAATAAAGGGAGGGAGGGAGGAAGGAAGGAAGGAGTGGGAGGGAGGAGGAAAGGAAAGAAAGAAAGAAGAGAAAGAAGGGAAAGAAAGAGGAAGGGAGGGAGGGAGAAAGAGAGAGAGAGAGAGAGAGGGAGGGAGGGAGAAGGGAAGGAGTTAGATAACACTTCCCCAGCCGCAACCTAATCTGACCTTCTTCCATTATGTACCCCTCATCAAGTTTGTAGATAACCTTAAAGTCATCTTAGCTAGCGGTTCTCCCGAACTCCTGTGAACCCTCAACATCCCACCCCTGGTCTAGTCTCTTCTTTAAAACCTCCAGTGATGAAGCTCCTACAACTTCTGGTGGCAAGCTGTTCCACCGGTTAATCATTCTCACTGTCAGGAAGTTTCTCCTCAATTCCAGGTTGCTTCTCTCCTTGATGAGATTCCATCCATTGTTTCTTGTCCTGCCTTCAGGTGCTTTGGAGAATAGCTTGACCCCCCCCCTTCTTTGGGGCAGCCCCTCAAATACTGGAATATTACTATTTATTTTATTATTATTATTAAATTTCTATACCGCCCTTCTCCTGAAGGACTCAGGGCGGTGAACAGCCAGAAGATAAAACACAGGAAATACAAAATCTAAAATAAATTAAAACAAATTAAATAATTTAGGCTGAATTTTAAAATACCCCATAATTAAACAGATTAAAAATTTATGTTTAAAATTTAAATTTAAAAGAGGAGATGATTTAGGCCACTATCATGTGTGCCCCCCCCCACAAGTCCTTCTTTTCTCTAGACTGCCCAAACCCGAATCCTGCAACCGTTCTTCATATGTTTTAGTCTCCAGGCCTTTAATCATCTTAGTTGCTCTTCTCTGCACTTTTTCCTTTTGTTCATGAGATGCTTTTTTTCAGGGTCATGTGGAAATGGGAGCAACCTGAAGCCCAGGTGTTGTTTTTTTTTCACCTGTTTTAGGCCAGAGGCCTTCAAACTTGGCAGCTTGAAGACTTGGGGACTTCTGGGAGTTGAAGTCCCCAAGTCTTCAAGCTGCCAAGTTTGAAGGCCTCTGTAATTTAGGTACTGTCCCAAGAGAGATGAGGAAATTGTTTCTCCTCCCCTCAAAAAATCCAGAGAAATGTTCTTTTTGGGAAATCACTTCAGGTAAAGAGAATGTCAACATTTGTCTTTGCCGTTGAACAAAGGTTGAGCTATGCACAGTTTTTTTTTCCCCTCACTGTGATGCAATCGGGAAATCTTTGTTAAAGTAAGAAAAACTTGCATGATTGACAGCGCATCCCTCCCTCCCTCCCTCCCTCCCTCCCTCCCTCCCTTTACTGTCCACAGAAGTACAGCCTGTCCCTTCGGAGATGCTTTCTCCACCCAAGTTCCTGCTTTGGACTCGGAGTGCTCTCACCAAACTGATGGGTAGGGCAAGGCACTTCCTGCTGTCTCTCTTTCAAAGCTGCATTTTCACAACCCACGAAACGAAAAACTGGCCCTTTTCATCCAGAAGTTTTTTTTTTTGTTTTTTTTTTAATTTGATTTATATGCCGCCCTTCCCCGGAGACTCAGGGCGGCTTACAGTGCGTTAAGCAATAGCCTTCATACTTTGGTATATTTATACAAAGTCAGCTTATTGCCCCCACAATCTGGGTCCTCAATTTACCTACCTTAGAAAGGATGGAAGGCTGAGTCAACCTTGAGCCTGGGGAGATTCGAACTTACAGTAATTGCAGACAGCTGGTGTTAATCACAATGCTATCAGTCTGCTGAGCCACCAGGCTCAAATGTTTAACCAAGTTAAACATTTATTTTTATTCTTATTTTTAATTGAGAGCCTTGATAGTACAGTGGTTTAGTGCACCCTGTTATTAACACAGCTGCCTGCAATTTCTGCTGGTTCGAATCTCTCCAAGGCTCAAGGTTGACTCAGCCTTCCATCCTTTCTAAGGTAGGTTAAATGAGGACCCAGTTTGTGGGGGCAATAAGCTGACTTTGTATAAAATGTACAAAAGAATGAAGGCTATTGCTTAACGCATTGTAAGCCGCCCTGAGTCTCCGGAGAAGGGTGGCATATAAATCAAATTAAATATATATATATATATTTCATCAAGCATGCGTTTTATGACAGATACAAGTGTAAACATAATTATAAATATGTCACTGCGTTTTTTTTATTTACCAGCTGAGCTCTCATTTCTGGACTATCAGACTTTCCGTAGCTTGCCAAGAATCCTTATCAGTAAGCTAAACTGCGCATGTCCTCCACCCACATTCCTTCTTCTCCCTCTTTTCTTTCTTCTCTTGCCAAGAAGTCCGACCACAGAGAGGTGGCCGGCACGAACTCTATCAAAAATGTAACTATTAGATTAGTAAGATGTTTTATTTTCTTTATAACAAATAAATGAGTTTTCTTAGAAGATATATCTTCCGGTTTTGTTTTCCTAAAGTATGCTGGCAAGGAAAGGTCTCGATCTGCCCCTCTTAATCAAGGTGCGATTATCCCAAAGGCAGAATGGGATTAATCAGCGCCCTGACAAAATGCATGAAATGGATACGGATAAATGGGGATAGTAGGAGAGGGATGGTAGCAGTGGTGGGTTGCTCCTGGTTCGCACCGGTTCGCAAGAACCGGTAGTAAAAATTTGTAGTAGTTCCGAGAACCGGTAATAACATCGGCTGGCCACGCCCCTGAACCGGTCCCCGGCTCGGTCGCAGCTCACTTACCCACCCACCTCATCAGAGACTTTTTTAAAAAAAAACTTTTAAAAGCATTTTTTCTACAACCTCTTCAACCAAAAAAATGCTTTTAAAAGTTAAAAAAAAAAAGCCTCTGATGATCGTGCGGCTCAGCTGGGATCATCAGAAGCTTTTCAAAGCATTGATTTTGGCAACCTCTTAAAGTTGTAGAAAAAATGCTTTTAAAAGTAAAAAAAAAAGCCTCTGATGATCACGCGGCTCAGCTAGGATCGTCAGAGGCTTTTCAAAGCATTTTTTTTTTGCAACCTCTTAAAGTTGTAGAAAAAATGCTTTTAAAAGTAAAAAAAAAAGCCTCTGATGATCGCGCTGCTCAGCTGGGATCGTCAGAGGCTTTTAAAAGCATTGTTTTTTGCAACCTCTTAAAGTTGTAGAAAAAATGCTTTTAAAAGTAAAAAAAAACCTCTGATGATCGTGCGGCTCAGCTGGGATCGTCAGAGGCTTTTAAAAGCATTTTTTCTACAACCTCTTCAGCTGAAGAGGTTGTAGAAAAAATGGTTTTAAAAATTAAAAAAAAAATTACCCCCCCCCCACGCCACGCCACGCCCACAGAACCGGTAGTAACAAATTTTACATTTCACCACTGACTAGGAGGGACATGATAGCATCATTCCAATATTTGAGGGGCTGTCACAGAGAAGAGGGGGGGTCAATTTATTCTCCAAAGCACCAGAGGGCAGGACAAGAAGCAATGGATGGAAACTAATCAAGGAGAGAAGCAACCTGGAACTAAGGAGAAACCTCCTAACTGTGAGGACAATGAATCAGTGCAACTACTTGCCTTCAGAAATTGTGAGTGCTCCATCACGGGAGGCTTTGAAAAAGAGATTGGACAGCCATTTATCTTCTGCTTAAGCACGGGGTTGGACTAGAAGACCTCCAAGGTCCCTTCCCACTCTATTATTTTGATTTTCTTCTAGGGAATCTTATGGACAACTACTTCGTTTTACTTCTCTTTTCTCCCTTCTCCCCTTTTCCACATTACGCTTAATTTGTTATTATGCTTAATAATAACTCCATTATTCTACGTATGCATTCTATGTATTATAAATGCAATCACATGTGGCCATCAGAACTTTGGATTCATGTCGTAAGTACCTTTTGGGGTGGTCTGTCATGCTTCCAAATGTTTGCTAAGCCAGTCGTTAAGTGAGGACTACGTGTAATCTGTCTTGAATGACTGAATGGAGGTAGTTGTCAGCATTCCAAGTAATGCACCCCATTGAAAGTACAACTCCAAGGCAGGTAGATTCCTGAAAGAACAGTTTATTGGGTACATCATTTTGGCACGGCTGGTGAAAACCGACTCTGAAAGTTTCCGCGGTTTTCACCTGATTAAAAAATGAAAGTTTTCCCCTTCCCCCAAGTCATCAGTCACATTGCCCAATAGAGGTGCTGGCCGGTTGCTTGGTTACTTCGCTCCTCCTCTCCCAGCCACCTGTTAGAATGACCTTGGTTCCCAAAAGAAATTTTTTTTGTTTTGACTGCAAAACCCCAGCTAACTATTCCCGCTCCCTGTCCCTTCTTCTGCCTTGTGGCAACCCTGAAACCACAAAGATGGCCTCAGCCAGGTAGATAAATCAATATGTTTGTCTAACTTATCTTCCTCTCCCGGCTTCTCCACAGGATGAAGTCTTCGGTTCCATCTCTTCTGATCGTCTCCCTTGTGATGTCCCTCAACAGCTACACCCAACAGGTTCTTTACTGCCCACCTGACTCTGCTCCAGAAAATATCACGGAGTTTGTCTGCAACTCCCCATCTCTCCATGAATTTCCCACCGGTTTCCCTGTACGAGCCAAAATAATCTCCGTTGAGTTCACCCAGGTCTCCAGCCTTGGCGTGGAAGCCCTCCAAGGTCTTCCAAACCTCCAAGAACTTCATCTGTCCAACAACAGGCTGAAGACCCTTCTGAGTGGCCTCTTCCGTAACCTCCCAGAATTGCACACCCTGGATCTGTCCACCAACCTCCTGGAAGATCTACCTCCAGAGATCTTCACCAGCGCAACGAACCTGACGCTTTTATCCATCAGTGAAAACCGACTGGCTGAACTGCGCCAATCCTGGTTCGAAACCCTGAAGGAGCTAAGGATCCTGAGCCTTGACAACAATCAGCTGAAGGAGGTCCCAATTTCTTGTTTCGATAAGCTGGAGAAGTTGACTTTTCTAGATCTCTCCTCCAACCGCCTCCATCGCCTCTCTCCAGACATGTTCAGCGGCCTAGACAATTTGGAGAGGCTGAGCCTGGAAAACAACCCAATCCGATGTATTGCTCCGAGATCCTTCCATTGGAGACCCAAGCTGAGCATCCTCTCCCTGAAGAACTGCAGCCTGACCGACATCATAATTGGAGTCTTTCAGCCATTGGACCATCTGGTGCTGCTAGATCTCTCCGACAACGAGCTCACCATGCTGGATCCTCCGGTCGCCATCCCGTCTGCAAATCTCAGCCTCGATCTTACAGGAAACCCCTGGGCGTGTGACTGTCGCATGGACAAACTTCTAACCTGGGTCAAGGAACACAAGATCCATTTATATTCCAAGCAGGAAATTGTCTGTGCTTTCCCCAAGAGTTTCAAGGGTGAAGTGGCAACCTCGCTTCATAGATCCCAAATTTGTCCCTGCTAAACCTTCAAACTGGATCCTTTCCCCACCCGATTCCTAAACAGCAGGATTTCCCAGTTTGGAGGCCATTTCCAGTTGAATGGACCTCAACTCCCAGGATTCTCAGCAATGGCCATGCTGCCTGGGGAATTCTGGGAGTTGAAGTCCACATAGCTGGATTTAAAGGAGAGGAGCCAGAACATGATTGGGGTGGTGGGGGGGAATAGGGAAATAGGAGCCTGGAGCCTGGTGGTGCAGTGGACTAAGCTACTGTTAAAGTAGTATTTAGCTGCCAGCTGCCTGCAATTACTGCGAGTTCAAATCTCACCAGGCTCAAGGTTGACTCAGCCTTCCATCCTCCCGAGGTAGGTAAAATGAGGACCCGGTTTGTGGGGGCAATAAGCCGACTTTGTATAAAAAAGAACACTTTTTAGGGCCCCCCCGAAAGCCCTCCTAAGCAGGTATATACAAAAAGTATGAAGGCTATTGCTTAAAAGCATTGTAAGCCGCCCTGAGTCTCCGGAGAAGGGCGGCATATAAATTGAACTAATAAATAAATTTTAGGGAGAAAAAGCTGCTCAGAAAGAGATGCTCAAAAAACCCGACAGTATAGGTCAGTGACGGCTAACCTTTTTGCCGTTGCGTGCCAAAAGCTGGGGGGAGTGTGGGGGGTTGAGTGTGCACGTGCCCACACCTATAATTCAATGTGCCCCGCCCCCTGCATGCATGCACGACCCCCCCTCCCGCGCTCCCACCGCTTTTGGCCCATGATGGCACGGTGGGCCTCGTAGGCCTGTTTTTTTGCCCTCCCCAGGCTCCAGAGGCTTTCTAGGAGCCTGGGGAGGGCCAAAATAGCCTTCCCCATCCTCCCTGGAGTCCAGAAACGACCCGTTTCCCGATTTCCGGTGGGCCCGAAAGGCCCGAAAATCAGCTGACTGGCGTACACATGCACGCTGGAGCTAAGCTAGGGCAACGCTCGCGTGCCGACAGATATGGCTCCGCCTGCCACCTGTGGCACGCGTGCCATAGGTTTGCCATCATGGGTATAGGTAGTCCTTGACTTACAACCCATTCAATTAGTGGCCTTTTGAAGTGTCAACAGCCCTGGAGAAAGTGACCTGTGAGTGGATCAGAATCAGAATAGAGCTGGAATGGAGCATTGAAGTCTTCTAGTCCAATCCTCTGCTCAAGCAGGAAACCCTATACCAGCAATGGCTAATCTTTTTGCTGTCGCGTGCCAAAAGCGGGGGGAGCGTGGAGGTTTGTGCGCATGTGTGCCCACACCCATAATTCAATGCACACCACCCCCCGCACATGCACACATGACCCCCCCCCCGCGCTCCCCCTGATTTTGGCACGCAATGGCATGATGGGCCTGGTAGGCCCGTTTTTCACCCTCCCCAGGCTCCAGAGGCTTCTTAGGAGCCTGGGGAAGGTGAAAACTGCCTTCCCCACCGTCCCCAGAGGCTGGAAACAGCCCATTTCCTGATTTCCGGTGGGCCCGGAAGGGCCAAAAATCAGGTGGCTGGCGCATGCATGCGTGCTGGAGCTGGGCTAGGCCAACGCTCACGTGCCCACAGATACGACTCCGTGTGCCACCTGTGACACGCGTGCCATAGGTTCGCCATCACGGCCCTATACCATTCCAGAACAAGTGGCTGCCCAGTCTCTTCTTAAAAACCTCCAGTGATGAAACAACTACAACCTCTGGAGGCAAGCTATTCCACTGATTAATTATCCTCACTGTTAGGAAGTTTCTCCTTAGTTCCAGGTTGCTTCTCTCCTTGTTTAGTTTCCATCCGTTCTTTCTTGTCCTGCCTTCAAGTGCTTTGACCTCCCCTCCTCTTTGTTGCAGCCTCTCAAATACTGGAAGAGTACTATCATGCCACCCCTAGTGCTTCTCAGAGCTGTCTTTTTCACTGTTACTATTATTATTAGCGTCGGGCGCTGTTACATTAGCCACGTGACTGCACTGCTATTGAAGAATAGTACTTTGCCTGCAAATCTGCTAGCTCTGTTATGGTACATGCTCACGCACTTCCCAAGATGCACCACAGGAGAGCGAGCTAGCTTTGCAACAGAAAAAAAAAAAAAACCCAAGCAGCCCTTCCAAGGCCTTCCCTCCCTCCACTGGAACCACTTCAGAAATAGGCATCACAACCAGGAAGGTTCAAAGCCAGCAGAAATCTGACTGCCTGCACAGAGCACCAACTCATCTCCCCATTGAAGTGGTACCTATTTGTCTACTCACACAGAACATGCTTTTGAGCTGCTAGGTAGGCAGAAGCTGAGACAAGTATGGGAGCTCACCCCACCATGCAGCGCTAGGGCTCGAACCACTGGAGCAGAGACCATCTCCAGCATCATTAAGCTACTGAGCCAAAGTGCTTCTCTGTTTTGCTGTTGAATAAACTCTTTCCGCTTCAAGCAATTGTCCTGTGCTCTTTGAAACCCTGCTCAGAATGAGCCAGAATTTTCTTCTAATGATTTGGCAACCACGTAGGGACACCAAGTCTAATCTGAATGATACCGTGTTTCCCCGAAAAGAGCCAACCATAAATAAGCCCTAGCATGATTTTTCAGGATGCTCATAATATAAGCCCTATCCCAAAAATAAGCCCCGGTTAAGACTGTCAGCTAGACGGATGCATTTACTGTAGTACCATGTTTTCCCGAAAATAAGACCTAACCGGAAAATAAACCCTACTGCGTCTTTTGAAGCAGAACTTCATGTAAGACCCAGTCTTATTTTTGGGGAAACACGGTAGATCTGGTCTGGGCAATTTCACTCAGTCAGCATCAAACCATTTGTCTGGAGGCTGGTGCTTTCGACTCTGCCTGTTTCAACGCAGATAATAAAGGAAGTTTTGGGTTGAGCCAGACCCTCCCCATCGTACTCTCTGTAAGTGCCTCACAAAGCGCTTTTGTAAATGAATCTTGCTCTCTTCCACGCAATGTACAAGACCTTCACCCAAGGAGATAGGATCCCACAGAAGTTAGGTTTTACAGAACACAACTCTGGTCGAGTAAAACCGGGCGTCAACTTTGAAACGGATCGAGCCTGCAGCGTCCGTTTTCCGTTTCCCAAGTCGCCACACAGTTTGGGGAGGAGGGGAGAGCAATGGAATGTAGCCTAGTCAAAACAGAGTGCTATCTCATGAGAACCAAGGTCATCCCAACTGGTGGTTACCAGAGGCTGGATCCGGTTCCCAAGAAGACGCTAGGACATCTAATTGGACAATGTGACCTGTGACACTAAGGGAGGGGGGATGTCTAAGATTTAATTAGACATTAGACATAAAGAGCCTTGGTGGCACAGCAGATTAAAGTGCTGTTAACTAGCACCAGCTGCCTGCAATTACTGCGAGTTCAAATCTCACCAGGCTCAAGGTTGACTCAGCCTTCCAGCCTTCCAAGGTAGGTAAAATGAGGACCCGGATTGTGGGGGCAATAAACTGACTTTGTATAAAAAAAGAACACCGCTTGGGGGGGCCCGGAAGCCCTACTAAACAGGTATCTACAAAAGTATGAAGGCTATTGCTTAACGCATTGTAAGCCGCCCTGAGTCTCTGGAGAAGGGCGGCATATAAATTGAACCAATAAATAAATAAATATATAAATAAATAAATAAATAATTGGGATGCTGAAATGGGCATGTGAAAAGCAGTTATAAGTTACTTTTATCAGTGACGTTGTAACTTTGAACGGTCACTAAATGAACTGTTGTAACTCAAGGACTATCTATAAAAGCTTATTTAGCACCAGAGGTCCTACGCAAATAGACATAACCCTTTGTTGTTCAGTCACTAAGTCATGTCTGAGTCTCTGCGATCTCGTGGGCCTCAGAATGCCAGATCCCTTTGTCCTTCATTTTTTCCCGAAACTTGCCAAAATCCATGTTCGTTGGGTCAATGACACTAACCATCTAACCATCTCGTCTCCTCTGCTGTGCCTTTCTGTTTCTGGCTGCATTCAAAACTCGAGGCGTACCTTATGCAGCTATTCAAGGAACCCATCCATTAATCATTTTTGGGAGGAAAAAGAAATTGAAAACTCATCCATTTTCAGAATCAGACTAGAATAGAACTGGAAGGGACCTTGGAGGCCTTCTAGTCCATCCCCCTGCTCCAGCAGGACACCGTATACCAGGGGTGTCAAACTCGATTTCATTGGGGGCCGCATTAGGGTTGGGTTTTACCTCAGTGTGGGCATGGCCAGGTGCTGTGGCCCGTACGCGGCCTGTGCAGCTAATAGCTGATTCCGACAGCAAGGAGGATGGTGTGGTGCTGTGCCAGCAGCCTGTGAAGCTGGCACTCGAGTCGGACAGTGAGGAGGCTGGAGAAGATGTGGTGCCAGAGGCAGGGATTCAGCCAGGGCCTTCAGAACCTCCAGAAGCTCCTTTAAGTGAAGAGGACGAAGAGGAGGAGCCTCTTCTCGATGCACAGGCGCGCAGAGCTGCCAAAAGGCAGGAGTGGTTCCTCAGGAGGAGTTCTCCTCGAGAGTAAGGCTTGGGGCTAATTGGCCACTCCCTTAGCCTATTTAAGGAGGAACACCGACTGAAGCAATTTGTAGGGAACAACTTTAGTTCATTCTCCTTCACGTCTGGATTCTCTGCAAATTGCTTCTGGGCTTTCTGCCAACCATAGTAAAATTATTATTATTCTTTGAATTCTTGGCGGCTGTTAATGCAATTAATTAACCGCCTTTATTTGAAAAAAGACTGGTTTATTCAGTAAGTTAAGGTTTGAATGGACTTTGTGTGTGCTGCGTTCTTTGGGGTCCGTAGCTGGGGTGGGCATGGGCGTAGCCAGCTCGACCTCCTGCAGCCCGCGCGTGGCCCTCCTGGGCTGTTTTCAGCTATGACAGCCTCCTGCAGCCCTCTGCCAGCAAACACAAAGGTCCACACGTGGCCCTCCCGAGCTCCGTTTTCACTGGCAGAGGCACCACGAGCCGGTCCTTTGCTATTTCCAGGGCGGCTCCGCGGGCCAGTTCTAAGCACCCCGCGGGCTGGATCCAGCCCATGACACACTTGCCCTATACCATTTCAGACAGATGGCTGTCCAGTCCAGGGGTGGGCTTCATAAATTTTAGCAAGGGGTTCTCTGCCCGGTTGCTAGGTGGGCGTGGCCATGGTGGGTGTGGCCTAATCAGCCTCTTGTACTAATGTAGGTAATGCGGGTCCAGCTAGATGATCACTGAAGAGCCTTCTTTATTCATAGTATTGTAAGAAAGAAAATGTGCTTGTTTGAAAGAAGCAACTATATCCAGTACAAAGGCAGATAAATTCCTTTGAAGTAGAAACATTCTATAAGAGGGGCCCCTCAGTTGTCAGAGATAGAGACATTTGGTGATATACAGTTTGAAGGTTAAAGAGTCCAAGGATGACCACATGAAATATCAACAAGAGATAATTTGAATCTATGCTTCGGTGATTTACAAGAAGAATTATGACTGTTTAGCAAAGATAATGTAACAAACTTTGTAATTAGAAAAATGTCATTTGATGTAACGAATGTCTGCAATGATAAAACTGCTGAGTTAACAGAATCCTTTGTCTTAGAAGAGTATAAAACCATTGTAACTAAGTTCTGTCTTTGTTCAAAGCTTCATGTACAAACGGGCTTTGAACCTATTGCGCAATACACTGTCTCTGACTAACCTAGAAAAGTTGTGTTGGTCAAATTATTCCACAACAGTACCACAGCAGGGAGGTGTTTTTGCCCTCCCCGGGCTCCGGAGGCTTTCTTTGAGCTTCCAGGAGGGCGAAAACAGCCTCCCCAGGCTCCGGAGGCCCTCTCGAACTACCAGTAGGCCAGTTTTTCACCCTCCCTGAGCCTCCATGCATACCCTGCACTTACCTCATCCAAAACAGGCCACGTGGGGACTCCTGGGAGGGCCGGGCCAGGGTAGAGGGGGCCATCCAGGAGTGGGATTTGGGGGTTCTCCAAACTGCACAGAATCTTAGCTAGAGGTTCTTCCGAACCCTTGCGAACCCTCAACATCCCACCCTTGGTCTAGTCTCTTCTTTAAAACCTCCAGTGATGAAGCTCCTACAACTTCTGGTGGCAAGCTGTTCCACTGGTTAATCATTCTCGCTGTCAGGAAGTTTCTCCTCAATTCCAGGTTGCTTCTCTCCTTGATGAGATTCCATCCATTGTTTCTTGTCCTGCCTTCAGGTGCTTTGGAGAATAGCTTGACCCCCCCCCCTCTTCTTTGGGGCAGCCCCTCAAATACTGGAAAATTACTATCATGTCCTTCTTTTCTCTAGACTGCCCAAACCCGAATCTTGCAACCATTCTTCATATGTTTTAGTCTCCAGGCCTTTAATCAACTCACTTGCTCTTCTCTGAACTTTTTCCATTTCTTCATGAGATGCTTTTTTTCAGGGTCATGTGGAAATGGGAGCAACCTGAGGCCCAGGTGGTGTTTATTTTTCACCTGTTTTAGGCCAGAGGCCTTCAAACTTGGCAGCTTGAAGACTTGGGGACTTCAACTCCCAGAATTCTCCAACCAGAATTCTCTAGCTATGCTGGCTGGAGAATTCTGGGAGTTGAAGTCCCCAAGTCTTCAAGCTGCCAAGTTTGAAGGCCTCTGTAATTTAGGCACTGTCCCAAGAGAGATGAGGAAATTGTTTCTCCTGCCAAAAAAACCCCAGAGAAATGTTCTTTTTGGGAAAACACTTCAGGTAAAGAGAATGTCAACATTTGTCTTTGCCTTTGAACAAAGGTTGAGCTGTGCACAGAAATGGTTTTTTCCCCCCTCACTGTGATGCAAACGGAATGGGGGAATTTTTTACTAATGTTTGAGGATAGAAACTTCCCCCCCAGCGCAGGTATATAAGAGAGTTCCTGCTGAACACAGCATTCGAGAAAGAGGGAGGCTGGCAGACATGTGGTTTTGAGAAAACTACAGGTAAGTACACACTTTTTGGTGTGGTTTGGTGTGTTGGTTTGGAAAAAGAAGGAAGGAAGGAAGGAAGGAAGGAAGGAAGGAAGGAGAGTGGGAGGGAAAGAAGAAAGAGGGAAAGAAGAGAAAGAAAGAAGGAGAGAAAGAAAAGAAAGAAGAAGGAAGGAAGGAGAGTGTGAGGGAGGAGGAAAGGAAGGAAAGAAAGAAAGAAGAGAGAAAGAAAGAAGGGAAAGAAAGAGGGAGGGAGAGAGAGAGAGAAAAAAAGAAGGAAGGAGTGTGAGAGGGAGGTGGAAAGGAAGGAAAGAAAGAAGAGAGAGAGAAAAAAGGGAAAGGAAGAGGGAGTGAGAAAGAAAAAGAAGGAAGGAAGGAAGGAAGGAGAGTGTGAGGAAGGAGGAAAGGAAGGAAAGAAAGAAGAGAGAGAGAGAAAAGGGAAAGAAAGGGAGAGAGAGAGAGAAAAAGAAGGAAGGACGGAAGGAAGGAAAGAAAGAAGAGAGAGAGAAAGAAGGGAAAGAAAGAGGGAGAGAGAGAAAAAAAAGAAGGAAGGAAGGAAGGAAGGAAGGAAGGAAGGAAGGAAGGAAGGAGAGTGTGGGAATCAAAGCCATGGAAGCTGCAAAAAGTCACATCGGTTTGATTCCCATTCTTCCAAATTTCTAGTCCTTAAGATTTTCTAACTGAGAAACAGAAAGATTGGACCCTAAACAAACATGTTTCACACCGAGATGCACATTTTGGAAGAAAGAGAATGGCAAGAAGAAGCAAACAAGGAATTGTGGCTATTGGGCCTTGCCGGGGGTGGGTGGGTTCTTGGGGGTTTAAAAATGGAGGGAGGCAAAAAGAAGAGGGAAGCAAGGAAGGAAGGAAGGAGGGAGAAAGGGAGGATAGAAGGATGGAGAGAAGTGGAGAGAAGGAGGGGGAAGAGAAAGAGAGGGAAGGAAGGAATGAAAAAGGAGCAAGGGATGGGTGGAAGAAAGGAAGGAAGGAGAAAAAGAAGGATGACAGTAAGGAAGGAGGAGAAGGGGAATGAAGGAATGAAAAAGGAGCGGGATTGATGGATAGATGGAAGAAAGGAAGAAGAAATAGAGGGGGAAGGAAGGAAGGAAGGAGAAAAAGTTGAAAGAGAGAGGATAGAGAAGTAGGGAAGAAGGAGAAAGAGAGGAAAGGGAGGAATGAAAAAGGGAGGGAGGCAGGGAAGGGACAGAGGGAGGAGAAATAGAGGGAGGTCAAGGGAAAGGAAGGGAGAGAGGCAGACAGGCAGGCAGGAAGGAAAGAAGGAACAAAGTGAAAAGAGAAGAAGGGAAGGAAAAGGAAAGGGAAGGAAAAGAGTTGAAAACCCTCCCAGTCGACAGCCTCAGCTCAGTCTCACCATCTTCTATTCCAAGCCCCTTATCAAATTTGGAAATAACCCACAGCCGGGAGGGGCTGCAGATATTTCGGGAGAGCTCTCAACCCCGATTGAGCAATAGGTTGGTGTCGGTGGAATTGAACAGAAGGAAAAGTCAGTTCCGCATCTGGGAACAGAAGGAAGAAAGAGGACGGGGAGAGGAGTCCTGGCTGGGGCATGTGTGAAAGGGAAGCTGAAGGTGTTGGATCTCTCTTTTTCTCTCCCGGCTTCTCCATAGGATGAAGCCTTCAGCTCCACCTCTTCTGATCGCCTGCCTTGTGATGTCCCTCAACAGCTACACCCAACAGGTCCCTCACTGCCAGCTACTTTTCGGCTCAAAAAATAGCACGGGTTTTAACTGCAACGATTCATCACTCCGCGAATTTCCCACCGGCTTCCCCACTGAAACCACAACCATCTCCGTTCAGTCCACCCAGATCTCCAGCCTTGGTGCGGAGGCCTTGAAGGGTCTTCCGGAGCTCCAGAGTCTTTATCTGTCCAACAACCAGCTGAAGACGCTTCCGGATGGCCTCTTCCGTAACCTCCCACACCTGCACTCCCTCGATCTCTCGGGAAATCTCCTGGAAGATCTAGTTCCAGAGCTCTTCAAAAATGTAGGTAGCCTGGCCTACCTAGCGCTCAGTAGAAACCAGCTGGCCGAACTGCGTCCATCTTGGTTCGAAACCCTGGAGGACCTCAAGAAGCTGCATCTCGACCACAATCGGCTGAAGGAGATCCCGACTTCTTGTTTCCGTAAGCTGACGCTGCTGCTGTCGCTGGATCTCTCCTCCAACCTCCTCCGTTGTCTCTCTCCGGAGATGTTCAGAGGCCTCACATTTTTAACGGTTTTAAATCTGAATAACAACCCCATCCGGTCTATCGCCCCCAACACCTTCCGTGGGACTCCCACGCTGTGGATCCTCTCCCTGAGTAACACCGGCCTGACCCACGTTCCGGCTGGGCTCTTTCAGTCCTTGAAACAACTGGGGCGATTGGATCTCTCCGCCAACGAGATCACCTCTCTGGATTCTCCCTTGGTCAACGTGACTTTCGCGCTCACTCTCGATCTCTCCGGGAACCCGTGGGCGTGTGACTGCCGCCTACAAGCTCTCTTAAACTGGGTCCAGAAAGACGGCGTGGATTTGTTCCCCAACGAGAACGTTGTCTGCGCTTTCCCCAAAAGTCTGAAGGGTCAAGTTGTAACTCCGCTTAATGGATCTCAACTTTGTGCCTGCTAAAACCTTCGAGACGGATCTTTTCCCAACTTGGCTCAGCTGGCGTGCTGCAAGATGGGTGGGCTTCAATTCCCAGAATGCCTCAGTCACCATGTATGGACTTCCAACTCCCAGAATTCCCAAGCTGGCATGCTTTAAGATGAATGGACTTCAACATCCAGAATCCTCCAGTCACCATGTATGGATTTCAACTCCCAGAATTCACAAGCCAACATGCTTTCAGATGATTGGACATCAGTTCCCAGAATCCCCCAGCCACTATGCATGGACTTCAACTCCCAGAATTCCCAAGGTGGCATGCTTTAAGATGAATGGACTTCAACATCCAGAATCCTCCAGTCACCATACATGGACTTCAACTCCCAGAATTCCCAGGCCGGCATATTTTAAGATAGGGGGCTTCAACTCCCAGAATTCCCAATGAGCATGCTGTAAGATACATTTAAAAGAATGAAAGAGGGAAAAAGCTGTAGAAAGCCAGTCAATAAAAGAAAAAAAAAACCACACCAGATAATTAAACATGAATCAGAAAAATTAAGCTTTTTGATTTTTTTTCAACATTAACAAACCCGTTTTCTTTCTCCGCCATTTTCAGCATTATAGACTTCCCTTCCACCCCTTAGTCAGTCCTTTTTCAATCCAAAAATCACCCCTTCGCTTTCTTCCACTTTCACAAAAAAACTCTGTAAAGAACAGGTGGTCCTCGACTTACAACAGTCCATTTAGTGACCGTTCAAAGTTACAACGGCGGAGTGGTCACGTGATCAAAATTCAGACGCTTGGCAACTGACTCGTATTTATGACGGTTGCAGTGTCCCGGGGTCACATGATCCACTTTTGCGAACTTCTGGTGAGCAAAGTCAAATCAGGAAGCTGGATTCACTTAACAATCGTGTTTCTAATTTAACAAATGCAATAATTCACTTAACAACTAAGGGAAGGGAAGGGAAGGGAAGGAAGGGAAGGGAAGGGAAGGGAGTAAATAGATGAAGAAGGGAAGGGAAGGAAGAAGGGAAGGGAGTAAATAGATGAAGAAGAGAAGGGAAGGAAGGAAGAAGAAGGGAAGAGAGTAAATAGATGAAGAAGGGAAGGGAAGGATAGGGAAAGGAGAGGAAAGGAAAGGAAAGAAGGGAAGGGTGTAAATGGATGAAGAAGGGAAGGAAGGGAAGAGAGGGGAAGGGAAGGGAAGGGAAGGGAAGGGAAGGGAAGGGAGTAAATAGATGAAGAAGGGAAGGGAAGGAAGAAGGGAAGGGAGTAAATAGATGAAGAAGAGAAGGGAAGGAAGGAAGAAGAAGGGAAGAGAGTAAATAGATGAAGAAGGGAAGGGAAGGATAGGGAAAGGAGAGGAAAGGAAAGGAAAGAAGGGAAGGGTGTAAATGGATGAAGAAGGGAAGGGAAGGGAAGAGAGTAAATAGATGAAGAAGGGAAGAGAAGGGAAAGGAAGGGAGTAAATAGATGAAGAAGGGAAGGGAAGGAAGAAGGGAAGGGAGTAAATAGATGAAGAAGGGAAAAGAAGGAAGGAAGAAGAAGGGAAGAGAGTAAATAGATGAAGAAGGAAAGGGAAGGATAGGGAAAGGAAAGGAAAGGAAAGGAGGGAAGGGTGTAAATGGATGAAGAAGGGAAGAATAGGGAAAGGGAAAGGAAAGGAAAGAAAGAAGGGAAGAGAGTAAATAGATGAAGAAGGGAAGGATAGGGAAAGGAAAGAAGGGAAGGGTGTAAATGGATGAAGAAGGGAAGGGGAGGATAGGGAAAGGGAAAGGGAAAGGAAAGGAAAGGAAAGAAGGGAAGGGTGTAAATGGATGAAGAAGGGAAGGGAAGGATAGGGAAAGGGAAAGGAAAGAAAAGAAAGAAGGGAAGGGAGTAAATAGATGAAGAAGGGAAGGGAAGAGGAAAGAGGAAAAGAAAGGAAAGGAAAAGGAAAAGGAAAAAGGAAAGGAACTCTGACTGCTGCAACAATTGCTCACTGAGTCAAACCACCCCTTATCAAATCGGCAGATAACACAAAGCGAATGCAAACATTTTAGGAGAGGGGACGATTCCGAAAGCTCCCAACAGCCTTGAGCAACAGGTTGATGATGGTGGACTTGAACAGGGACACTGGCGCTCCAAGGTCCTCTTCCCACTCCGTTATCCTGTCATCTGGAAACGGAAGGCAGAAACAGAGGAGGGGGGAGACGGGGCTGGGCAGTGGCAGGTGTGAACGTGGACCTATCAGCCTTTTCAGGTACTCCCAAGGGTGCCTTTTTTTTTTTTTTCTCAAGAGGCAACTAGATTTTCTGGTTTTTCGTTGAAGACCTTTCGCTTCTCCTCCAAGAAGCTTCTTCAACTCTGACTGAATGGTGGCGAACGGAAGGATTTCTACTCCTTGCAAACAAAGCTGGTCATTTGCATCCTTTTCAGAGAGTCGTTGAGGCCACTCGGAGGTTTATCTGTGTCTTTAGGATCACCTGAGTGGTGCAAATAGGTGTGGAGCCTTCTTGGAATTGCTGAAAGGACTGTGTTGTAGACAGGAGATAGATGATGTTGTATCCCTTCCCCTCTGTTGAGGGTTCTCCAGGTGGCCTCAAGGACTCTCTCAAAAGAATACAAATGACCAGCTGTCTGAAAGGAATGTAAATCCTTCCATTCCCCACCATCCAGTCAGAGCTGAAGAAGCTTCTCGGATGAGGAGCAAAATGTTTTCAAAAGAAAAAAACAAAAAAGTCCAGTTGCCTCCTGAAAAAAAAGCCTGTAGTACAGTGGACTAAAGCACTGTTATTAACATCTGCTGCTTGCAATTACTGCAAGTTCAAATCTCCCCAGGCTCAAGGTTGACTCAGCCTTCCATCCTTTCAAAGGTAGGTGAAATGAGGACCCAGATTGTGGGGGGCAATAAGCTGACTTTGTATAAATATACAAAAGTATGAAGGCTATTGCTTAATGCATTTTTTTTTAAAATTTGATTTATATGCCGCCCTTCTCTGGAGACTCAGGGCGGCTTACAATGCGCTAAGCAATAGCCTTCATACTTTTGTATATTTTATACAAAGTCAGCTTATTGCCCCCACAATCCGGGTCCTCATTTTACCTACCTTAGAAAGGATGGAAGGCTGAGTCAACCTTGAGCCTGGGGAGATTTGAACCTGCAGTAATTGCATGCAGCTGTGTTAATAACTGTTACAGATGAAAATACCTAACCTGATATCTGTAAATATGTGTGCTTGTTTATATGTCATTGTGTGATGTCATTGTGTCACTTACCATTGGTTAGTACTTACCATTAGCCCCGCCTTCACTGTATATAAGTTCTTGCTCCTCCCAGATTAGTGCCTGTCTAATTGTGTTCCTGAGGAAGAAAAGAAATAAATATTACTATTACAAGAAAGCCTACAGTCTCTTATATATGGGCCTAACCAGGATAACCAAACTAGCAACAAATTGGTAGCAAGAGGATGGTTTGGTAGGCCCAACCGAACATAAAGATGCAAGACTCACATAACGACAAAAGAAGACCTGCCACCAGATACATAACGAAAAGAATGGCAGCTCAACTAACTCCTGACAAATATACACCACTTGAAAATATTAAGAAACAAACGCAATTACAAGAAAATGAACTGCTAACACCAAACAAAGAAGATGAGGTAAAAAGTAAAATACTAGAATTAATAGAAACAACTACAGCTGAATCAAATCTGCTTGTGAAAATCCGCAGCATAATAAACGACCACGGAACAGCAGCAGATAACGAAAATAACAAACAAGAAAACTGCAAGGTAAGAAATTCAACCCCTGACTTCAAAAATGACACCAAAGATGGCGACAGCTTCCCGCCTTTTTCATGGCAGCCATCTTACCCACCTAATACCTCTAAAATGCCTGACCAATTACTAAAAGAATTCCAAACCTCAAACTACGAAATAAAAAACAAATAAAAAACAATTATTTAAACAAAACAAAGCTCAACCTACTGAAGTAGAAATAGACAATGCTATACAGGTGCTAACTGCAGCACTCGGGACTAAACTAACAATACCAAACAAACAACCAGAAAATGAAATAGAAAATTCTAAACTACCATCTACCAAAGGCCAAAAAGAAATAGACTGTCTAAAGAAAGGCCTAGCCACCCGAAGAAAGACAAGCTGGCAATCATACTTACCTACTGAAGAGCAGCTCCCTGAACAACCCGGCTCCATTGGCAATGGCGGCCCGCCTCAAGCTCCACTTACTGACGACCTCAGAGAAGACTCCCCGATGAGCAGAGCAGCACCCCAGGCATTCTTCAGTCACCAGAGGCCCTCCGGAAACAAAGCAGAGCAACAGAAGGCCGTCTGGGACTTCACCCCAGGAGCTGCAGACACAGGAACCTCCCTCATCGACTGCTGGAGAAAAATGAGGACTGAGCATGCCCAGAACGAGCCTGCAAAGAAAGAAGAAGGAAACATAAATACAAGTCAGCGCAACATAGAGATAAGTAAATACAGACATACATCTACCATACCCAGGCCTTATTGTGAGTATGCTAAGGTCTTAAATCATGGACAGCTACTAAACATGAATAACACCTCACTACACTCAGGGACAATACCTCCAGACTTTATAAAATTGAAATTAGATGGAAGCAACTTAATGGAATGGGATCAGTGTTTACAGATTGTATATATGAAAGAAAATGTTTTATTTTTTATTGATAACCCACCAAATAAGCCTTGGACCTATGAAATAGACTGCCTCCACCACAAAGCATACTATATGTTAATTGTTTCTATTTCCCCAAGTATACTCCCCAGTATAGAGCATAATTTAACTGTATTTGAAGTATATCAAAAATTATTCAGACTGTTCTATAGCAAAAATGTAGCCACTACCACAAAAATCTCTAGGGAATTCTATTCTGCCAAACTAAAACATGATACATCCATGAGTGAGCATATCTTGAATTTAAACGCTGTAAGAGCAGACCTTATTCAAAGGGGAGAAACCATTTCTGACAACACCATGAAAAGCATTATAATTAACTCACTAGATCACAGCTGGGATAACTACATTACACTAATAGATAACCTAAGTATAGAGCAAATTACTTTAGAAAACCTTACCAATAAGCTTATTACTGAAGATAGACTTAGAAGAGAGCGATATACACAACAAAGAGAAGGTAGAAATCAAAGAAGGACTGATTTCAGGGCCAGAGACAGATACCCACATGAATGTCTCACATGTGGATCTGAAAGACATCAGAGTAGAGACTGTCCCAAGAATATAGGATACAGTGACTCATATAAACACAAGGATAGAAGAATACACTTTTTAGACAGAACCTCCCCAGATTACAGGTATAAGAGAAGAGAATCACCACACTCTAGAGAAAGACAAACATACAGAAATAACCCTAGAAAAAATAAGAAAGGATCACTATATGGAATAAGAAATAATAACACTTTGATATCTGATTCACTCAACACCTGGCTCATAGATTCAGGAGCCACATGCCATACAACTCATAATAGAGAAATATTAAGTAACTTCACTGAAAAGAAATATTATATTAAAGTA